TTCTGGTAGGGCCACTCATGCTGGACAGGTCTGAGGCGAGAGGCCAGTCTGATTACGATCGACTATCAACTCATTATGGTGTATCATAATGAATCTGTCTACGAAGAGATGCTGCGCAGACTATTGGAAAACTAAAATATACTGTGACAAACTGGCTAACAGAAGCTGGGAGGGTGGTCTTCTCTCTCTAACCCCACCACCCTCCCCCTCAGTGATGCAAGCGACCAACATCTAGCGGACTACAGAGGGCTTATTCAGAAGAATGTGCCATCGGCAACAAAACTGAAGTTGGATGAGATAAGACTGCTCGATAGTAACACTGCTGTGCAATAATATAAACTAACAAAATTAATAAATTATCCCGGAGACCAGAGACTAAAATGCCTTTTGTGACAGAAGTTATCCAGCTAATCCAGAAGTTATCCAGCTAATCCAAAAGTCATCCAGTTATCCAAACGATAATGCAAAGCTGCATCAGAAGAATACCCTTCAGGATTATGAATGGCTTCAAGAACCTAAGAGGTTTATATCTCCTGTTGGAGGCAAGAAGAGCTATGTGAATATATCTGAAGCCAACAGAGTCTTGAAAATGATATCAATCAGTAATCTGGAATCGAACAATGGTGTAATATGAGACGATTCTTGTGGTGACGAAGAAACTTTGCATTAAGCTGGAAGCAGATCTGAAAAAGAGAAGAGTCTCCAAAGTTAAAACAATTAGGAACAATTAGGAAGAAATACGTTGAGAAGTAAAACAACCAAAACAATTGAACAGGGACTACATAAAGATAAGAATGACACATTATGAAAAATAACAGGTTTGGACAAGACAAAACAGTCAGAGCTGCAAGAGCCATAAGCAGAGGCTGTTTGCTGTATCGGCATGGCTTCGAGCATATCAGAGCAGGCTATAATGCGGAAATCATTGGTCCTAACGCAGAAGAATCGCTTTAATTCTGGAGAAGGATAAGGGAAAATGGCAAAGTTCGAAACAAAAAACTAGCCAATGGAATTTCTAAGCAGAGGTCGCAATCAATGAAAAGACTGTTTGCGGTTAGCCCGGGTTTAGCGCATGCGTTCTGGATTAAACGGCAAACGTCTTTGCACAGACGAACAACCGTATTTTCACAGAAGGTGCTTAAGGAAAGACACCTTCTCGGTTATCTTAAGGAGTGACACATCTAGTTTTGAAGGACTAAAACAGAGATTATAGCGATGAGACTAACTACAGACTGATCAAGGGCCTTCGAACGACCAAAAGAGAAATTCCTGACGTCTACATTACACAGCGCGGATTACGAGAATCTGGAGGCGAAAAACATCACATTTTCTGAATAAAAATGATGCCGAACACGGGACCCAAGAAACAGCTACAACGGACAAGGTGCCATATCCAGATATACAAATTAATAAAGATCAACATGGCCATGACCAGTATCCACTTCATGAGGGCATTGGGTCTAGTATTATATAGCGGATCCTGGAATATCTGAAACGTCAAAACTTCGAAAACTGCCTAAACTGTATCGAAGCAGCAATTAAACAATGGCGAACAACAATATTATGTAACAACACCTAACTGGGATCGGTGAGAAATCTTCCAAGAAGAAGATTAGCCGCTTGTATTTTGAATGACATCAAATTTGTTCAATTACACAATGAATAACACGAGGGAAGGATATAAGTTGAAAGATGGCGCTGAAATATCGCACCTGTTGCACATGGACGACCATGCGAAATAAGCAAAGAGTTGGATATTCTGATCGAAGGCGCACGAATCTTTTCAGAAAATATCAGGACGGAATCCGGCTTAGATAAATCTGCTACGTTCGAGACTAAGAAAAGAAAGACCTAGCAAAACAAGGGACTGATGTTACCGACCAGCAAAATAAACAGCATAAAAGAAGGAAGATTACTCCGGAATTTCCCAAGACGATCTGAAAAGGAAATATCGGCTTATCGTTCGGATATCATGATAGTAAAGAGGCGAAAAGGAGGTCACTAATCACTGACATACGACGCTCGGATTCTGGCGACGTTGTTGCTGTTAATGAGAGAAAAGATACTGAAATATCAGGAACTGAGGACAAATACAGAAAATCTGGAGAGGAAAGATGGAAGTCATTCATGTGGTGATAAACGCTTTCGTGAGCTTCTGACACTCATACTACCGTGCTGCGATTTAGAAGATGTTGGAAATCCAGACCTACTATACAATCATAAATCTGCTGGTATACAAAACATAAGTCTAGCATTTTGTCCTTCGCGAGGTTAGAGCGAAGTAAAGTTAATAGCTGAATAAGTTTAGGCCAACATCAGACAAACAGTTATTTTAAGTCGCGTTAATGAAGCACTTATAGATACCTTCGATTGAGCTCAAGGCATAGGCCTTTTTGTTCGGAAATGAGCGTATGCACCGCGTCTGATACTTGAGCGTCGAGTCTCGCTTCTGCTCAGGGCCTGCACCCATATTCCGCAAGTTCCATATCCATACCTTGCGTCCGGCCGTTCCAACGATCAGTCTGTCACCGCACGCGTCTATTGTATACACTTTATCAGGCTGATTGAAGCATCCAGAACAGCGATTCGCCCTCGGGTCCCAAACTTTCACGCACCCGTCCCATCCTCCCGAAGCAACCAACGATGTTTCTGGTGAATAGGTAATGCATCGAACGCCAGCCTCATGTGCTCCAAGAATGGTTTCTGTAGTAACAGACATATAAGGTTATCATCTGCATACACATACGGTACATAAATTTGACAATAATAAAATATACTTGTGTCAGGCCACACGTTGTACTTCATAATTAGTATAAAATGTTTCTGGTGCGAAGCATTATTCTAGGTAATTATAATGAGTGAAAAGAACAAATAAGCTAGCTGCTCCAACAATGAACACCGAATCTCATTTATAGCAGGTTTTCTGGAGCAAAGCACATTTTACTAGTTAATTCAGATCTTCAACATCGGTTAGATTTCTTTCACTGCACGTCGCGTGGATTCATAAACAAAGTTGAATTTGATGATTTTTACATGTAAAGTTTTTTTTACATATGTCTGTGTAATATTTTATTTGCAAAAACTGATTTTAAAAAGTATCGTTTAATAATACAAAAAAACTAAGATAACAAAAAAACGACGGTACGATTCAACGACAATACGTTTTACAGTCTTCCTAAGCAACAACTACTGGAAAAACGAAACAGAGGAAAAGGAGAGGAGAAAAATCAATCGGCTAGTTAGATAGGCTTCTAATAAATAAGTAAATAAAAAATAAGTATGTACGTAAGTATGTAAACAAGTAAATCAGTAAGGAAATTAGTACGCAGCAAATAGATAGCAGGTCAGTGATTCTGTCAGTAAGTAAATTAGCAAGCATATAAATTGACAATACATATGAACCAAACTATTTCAACAAGTCAACTGAACAACAAACAGGAAATCGAAAGAAAATACCAATCATTAAGCAGTTTGACTGAATTGTGAGCTTAATACTTCGCACCGGTGACTAAGGTTTCCACTTATGTGACTGTGAGTAGACTAGTAAACAAGTGACAAGATGTGACTGAGAAAGAAAATAAATAAGTGTATTTCGCAAAGTAAATGAAAGATTTTAAAACATTTATTAAACAACGAACAAAGGGACAAAAGAAATTTATTTAACATTAAACAAGAGTAAGCAGTCAATTCAGAGTTCGAAGGATAATCGATTAACTCGAAGTGAACAACTAAATATGCAAGTATTTACGGAGGCAACAAAGTTTATATAGCAAACTAATTAACGCTTTGATCATATCCACTGAACAGCAAATAGAAATGGAAAAGAAATATTACCAAACACTGTAATTTAAAGCCTACAGTAAGCTCATGATTGCGAAATGACGAAAAACTGAGTAAATAACAAAAAAAGCAACTAATAAAGCCATCAGATTAGAGCGTGAGAGAATAAGCGACTGCGGTAGTCACTAAAATTGACAAAAATTTCAATCATATCCTACTAAACCGTGAACAACAGAAAACTAACTAGAAATGAATAATCAACTCACGACTTTAAAATGGAATCTGCGAGCTCTAAACAAGTCAATCGATCAAGCAGTCAATCAGGCAGGTAAAGAAACCTCAAACTGCATATATTGAAAACGGCGCAGTTTAGACAGTTCAAGAAGTGACTTACTTCAGCGAAGGATAAAATCTTT